TGTGTGTGATTGAGTTGAGTGTGTGATTGTGTTGAGTGTGTGATTGTGTTGAGTGTGTGATTGTGTTGAGTGTGTGATTGTGTTGAGTGTGTGATTGTGTGTTTCAGTGTGTGTGCTGCTGGCACTAACAGGCAGAGAGGGAATCGGCAGAGAACTAAAGCGCTGTTTAGTGCAACACACGATCAAAACAAACACAAGTTGAGTTACAGCGGAGTGAGGACATCATACTGTGCAAACTAACATCAAACACCTGAGAGCACAACTACTGATGACTGCTGCTACTGTATCTCATCAAAAGAACTGTGTGTGTGCGTCATGTCTTCTATACAGATATTCAGTTATTAATAATGGGCAAATATTACACTTTGGTGATGAGGAAATCAGCTGATATTCTCCTATATTCATCATCAGCTCAGGCAGACTCAGGTGGTGAGGTTTCTGACACTGGCCGTCAGTAAAATACCACCAAATCCAATTCAAACCCTGCTTCTTCCACTAAAGGCAGAGAACACAGAAGCATTGATCATGATGTATGTTTTCCATCACCATCCTTCAGGAGCTCCGTCTGTTCTGGAGCCGATCGGAAACTCGCCATAGCAACAGAACGTCTCCTGTGAGAGGCTGATGCAGAATGAGTTCACACAGAGGAGCATCTTCACGGTTGTGTTTACTTTGCCTTTGGTAATTCTTCACTAAGGTCTTGAGATTTTTAAATATTCACTCTTCTGATTTGCATACTGATCAGGTAATCACTAACGGATGGAGTTACACAGCTAGACAAAACACAAGTCCACTACACTGCTGCTAAACAGAAGTTCTGCTTTTGTGTGTAGAAATTCATCTTAAGCGTGACTCACTATGTACAATGCACCATTTACAGTGGACAGGCAGTGTACAGCAGGGCTGCGTTTACACAACAGTGCTGCGGGTAAAAAAGAAAAACTTTCATTCTGCAGTTTTGAAACGTTTCATAGAGATGAGGACAGCTGGACCAAACCCTCCGCTCATTCAGAGCTGTGAAAATGACTGAAGCTGTATTCCTGATGTCCAGTAGCAGGCGCTGTGACTGACACAAACACTGCACTGACTACTGTAGTCAACACTGACATGCAGTCATGTTCCTTCAGCTTAGTCCCTTATTCATCAGGGGTCGACACAGCGGAATGAACCGCCAACTATTCCGGGATATGTTTTATGCAGTGGATGCCCATCCAGCCGCAACCCATTACTGGGAAACACCCATACACATTCATTCACACACACACTCATGCACTGCGAAAAGTTTATTTGATCAGTTCCCCTATAGCGCATGTGTTTGGACTGTGGGGGAAACCAGGAGGAAACCCACACCAACACAGGGAGAACATGCAAACTCAGAAAAGCCAACTGACCCAGCTGGGGCTCGATCCAGCGACCTTCTTGCTATGATGCCACAGTGTTGACCACTGAGCCACCATGCCGGCCTAAACTGAGACATTCATTCTTCTTTTTCAGTTTAGTCCCTTTTATTAATCAGGGGTCACCACAGTGGAATGAACCTCCAACTTATCCAACATATGTTTTACACAGCGGATGCCCATTCACACACACACACACACTCACACTCATACACTACAGCCAGTTTAGTTCATCAATTCCCCTACATGTGTTTGGACTGTGGGGGAAACCGGAGCACCCGGAGGAAACCCACACCAACACGGGGAGAACATGCAAACTCCACACAGAAATGTCAACTGACCCAGCCGGGACTCGAACCAGTGACCTTCATGCTGTGAGGCCACAGTGCTAACCACTGAGCCACTGTGCCGCCCTAAACTGGGACATTCATTCATTTATTATATTTTCGGCTTAGCCCCTTTATTAATGAAGGTTTGCCACAGTGGAATGAACCACCAACTTATCCAGTATATGTTTTACACAGCGGATGCCCTTCCAGCTGCAACCCATACACTGCAGACAATTTTAGCCGACCCAATTCACCTACATCCTATGTGTTTGAACTGTGAGGGAAACCGGAGCGCCCGGAGGAAACCCATGCACACGCATGGAGAACTCCACACAGAAATGCCATCTGACCCAGCCGAGGCTCAAACCAGCAACCTTCTTGCTGTGAGGAGACAGCATTACCAACTGGGCCGTGGCGTCCCTGTGCAAATGAATGGTGAAAATGCATCAAAAGCTTTTGATTTTTATTTGAAGGCAGTGTGGTGTAAACGCTTCCCCAAATCAACACAAGTTCCCTGTGCTGAAAATATTTCCCTACTCCCCAGAACATACTTTGTTTGGTCCCCCAGGGCAGCCAGGACACATTACATTAGACTCTAGATGGAAGTGCAATAAGATTTGTCGTATTTGTAACCCTGTGACGGATGGTCAATGGCATATGGTGTGATGGTGACTCTCCAGCTTCTGCACTGGCTAGAGAGAGCGGTTCAGACAGCTTGTGTGTAATCTCATCTGTAATTGTGATGTTATATGGCTAGATCTGTTCTGATCTGATGGAGCATTCTCTGATCTTCTCATATGTTTAACTGTGCAAATGTGTCATAAAGTGTGGCAGTTCTTCATTTACATTCCCTTTAAGACATTTTTGGCAAATGACAGAATTTGAGTCTCTACTATGAAAGATTAAAAGCCCGTCACCTACAAACAGCAGAGATCATTTCTGGAAATATCAAATATCTGTTCAGGGAAAGATGCTGGTTCTCTAGCATGTGTTGCTGATGACTTGGTTCTACCTGACATTCCCGGATGACCTGAACGACACCAATCAAGTTCTTCTAGTACTAGAGTCATTTTGTTTTTACCTTGATTAGTTTGGGTAGATGTTAAGTCAGTAGAGCTACACCTTCGCCATGGTCCAACGCAGACCGCATGCTCATGGAACCTGAACTGATCCTGTAGAAATCTCCAATTCTGTCTCCGACAGCCTCCACATCCCTCCTCACATGTTAGCAGGATACTTTTGTCTCTTGCTCTCTAAATCTCTCTGCAAGTCCTGCTCTTTCTTTGCCTCGTTTGCTGAAGTGGGGGTGGACTGGAGAACTGGAGATGCAGAGCCACTGGGAGCAGGAGAGTGAGATGGACTTAAGGTCGGAGTAGACAAAACATTTAAGGTCTGAGTCTGGGCTGCAGCTGGCTTCAGCGGCTGTGAAGTAGAAGGAGATGGAGTGGATGCTGGAGAAGCAGCAGGAGCAGGGGTGGAGGGTCTGCTGGGGGCCGGGGTGTGGATCGGGGACACTGGGGTCCAAGGAGAGCTGGAGGTCTGTGTGGCACTCTGGGTTTGACTGGAGACTGGAGAACGTGCTGGAGAAGAAGCAGAACTCAGAACCTGGATGGTGGATGACAGCTGGACTGCAGAACTTTGTCCTGGGGTGAAGCCTAGAGGTTTACTTGGCATCTGAGCAGGAAACGGACTCTGGGTGGAGGCTGAGGTTGGAATTGCAGCTGGGATCTGGACAGGAGTTGGACTCCGGCTCTGGGATTGGATTTGGATGGCCACTGGTGTTCTAGATTGGGTGGGGGTCTGAATGGGAGTTTGAATAGGTGTTGGGGTTCGAGTCGGGGTGGGGGTGTGAGAGGGAGTGACAGTGGGTGTTGAATTGGTGGTGCAAGATAATGGGGAGGGTGGTGGAGGTGTCTGAGAGGGCTTGGCACGGGAGTTCTGAGCCAAAGAGTTGCCAGATGAAGAAGTTGGAGAGGTGGAGATGGATGGAGAGGGAGAAGGAGGGCGTAGGCAAGGCGGAGGAGATGTGGAGGGAGGAGTGGGTATTGCGGTGCACGGTTTGGCCCGCTGGGTTTGAGGAACTCCTAGAACAGTGGCAGTGAGGGGTAAAGGAGGGTTGGTGGAGCACAGAGGGGTTTGCTTGGGGGATGAGGATGAAGGTGCGAGAGGTGGCAGAGCTGATGCTAGAGGAGCTGCATGTGCCAGCTGAGTGGGCAGCAGCAGGGCAGGGTGTGCTGCCATTTGTGGAGCAACCGGCTGTAGTGCATTTGAACTCAAAACCCCTGCGCTTCCTCCTCTAGCAAGACTTGCGGACAGAAGGAAGGGTGCCGGCAGCAGGTTTCCTCCGGATGCTTTCCGGTGGAGGGGTGGGTGAGGCTGGACTCCTGTCCAGCCCCGGTGCGGAAGCGTCGGCTGTGATGCGGAGAGCAGGCGTGCCTCCTGGGTGAGTCTGCCAATCATGGGCAGGCCCTGAGTGCTGCCGCCGCCAACATGGCGCAGTAAAGCTTCTTTGGCCCCCTGCGGAGTAGAGCTGATGTTGCGTCCTTCAGTGGACAGAGCCACGACCGCTGAAGGGGGCGGAGCTACTTTATGCACAGGTGATGTGGTGGGCTCCGTGTGGAGGCGCAGACTGTAATGAAGAGTTCTGCCAGCTTGCAAGGGGGCAGGGACTGATGATGCAGGTGTGGGAGGAGCTTTAGCAACTCCTCCTGTCGGAGGAGGAGCCATCCCCACAGTGGTTGGTCCTAAGGTGGAGGGTGAGGGTGTAGGATTTATAGTGGATGGGAATCCCCGCGGAGGCAGTCCACCCATCACACTGATCAGAGAGCTGAGAGACTGGCGAGGGTGTAGAATAGGCGGGCGGGGAGGTGAGAGCGGGCAAGAGGAGGGTGACGGTGAGATGGGCAGTGCAGAGGGAAGGAAGATGGCGGCTCCGAGGGCGTGCTGCTGTTGGAGCTGCTGTTGGAGCTGCTGCTGCTGCTGCTGCTGATGCATTAATGCTATGGCCACATTGGTGGTGGCGGCGGCCGTCTGCAGGGGAGCATGGACCAGCGGTGCCCAGATCAGAGGGTGAGGTCTTGGGGAGACCGTCCCTCCAGTGCTGCCTCGGGGGCCCACAGTGATGTCCTGCATGGTGGGCATGCTGTCATGCTTCACGATCTGCTGGACCAGAACACTGTCACAGGAACCCAGACCGGCAGCTCCTGCCCCTCCGCCACGGCTGCCTCCTCCCCGACCCAGACTGCTGCCTGCTACTGACCCTCCCTGAGACGTCTTGCGCAACAATATGGAGTTCTTCTTACCTGTGAGCAAAAGGAAATCAGAAGTGAGTTAGTATGAACACAAAGTAAAGTCAACACAGATCCTGCACACTGAACCTGATGCGTCTTATTTCATCCTTTGTGAAAAAACTAACTCAGTTAATTCAAGAAGCGATGCTTTGTTCTGCTCTCTCTTTTTCAAAAAAGACAGAGGAAATACTGTTCATCAATCCACTGCATGAAGAGGAAGGAGACGTCAGCTCCTCATCAAAGAGCTGTGCGAGAATATCCTGAAATTCAGTGCTTATTTCAGGAAATCTGTGGCACTCTGAAACCTTGCTTATGATACCGCAGCCACATTTCCCTAAATTAATCTTGAACCGAGACTGGTACATCAAAGGTAGGCACACACACACACACACACTAATATTTGACAAATAGCAGCATGAAAGGTGTGTGCTGAAAGCACCATTCAGTACTCTACAGCAGTGGATCTCAGCCCTCT